TGATGTAAGAGTTATATATATATATATATATATTGTTATGTGTTAATTCTTGCCCGTGCTATTATGCAGGGATGATGGAAATGCCATCCCAACTATCTTATTTCCATTGTTTTTGAAGGATTAATATTAGCCGTCCCTACATTTACTTCCGTTTTGAAAAGTTTTTTCTTTACTTGTTTCGTTAATGCAGTATTTCAATAGACATAGGAAGGATGTATTTATAACCAAGTTCTAAATACAATGAGGTTCAAACTGTAATATTTATTGTTTATCTATTATTGGATGGTAGTTATTGTTTTTAGAGGAACACCAGGTGTCTGTAAAAAAACTAACTTCAGGGGGTAATAATAACATTGTTTACACTAGAATTATGATTTTTTTTCAATTACTACTAGTTATTAATAATACTTATAAAAGCCAATACTTAGTTTGAAACTATGTCACCTCAATGAAATTGGTTAACATCATTCTTTTGGTTTTGAGTTATCACGTAATAAAAAAGAAGCGGAAGAAAGAAGAACAAGAAATTCAAACTTTCTGCTATGATATTTACAGACATTCCCAGAACTTGTGACTCAGTCATTACATAGATATTGTTATAAAAGTAAACACTGTATAGTATTGTAAAGTTCTGATGACCTATTGAGGAGATATTTAAGATACCATTTCGATGACAAATCCAAGTCATCCCTACATATGCAGTGCAAATGCCTGCCTGATAATATTTACATCACTTGCTTCTATATTTTTCTGTTTATTTCTATTTAATGTTTTACCGTTCCCTTCGATTTTTGTGTTCATTAGCAAGGGGAGCTCAGACCCCTTGACCTCCACCTCTTCTCCTACTTACTATAATTATGAAAAGTAAGATGATGAAATAGTTTGTAAACATGATTTGGCATATTAAAGGCGAAACAAGAGGGAATCCTTAATAGCCGCGGCACGTGAAATTCTTTTATGTAGGATTAGAGTAAATTAATCTATGAGGCCATTTTTCTTTTTTATTAGTTATATTTTTGTGCGCCAGCAATATGGCGCGCTCATACCCAATTCGATTTTATTACTCATCAGATCTCTACCAGCCTACCCTCAAATTGAAATTATTTTAGGCAGGATTAGAGTAAGTTAATCTATGAGACCTAGTTAATCTATGGCGTGATGAAATAATCAATCGAAAGGGTTTGACCTCCTGAGTCCAAAACATGAATTAGATCTCAAATGGGTCAATAGATGACGGAGCTATGAGTTAAAAGTTTGTACTTGAAAGAAAATTCAGAGCCATTTTGTGAGCCGCGGCTAGTTATACGTTAAAAAATGTAGGTATTATTTATCAGTTCGTTTGTATACACGATTATTATAATATACTATGTTCTACTTATCTGAACAATTTCAGTTTATGTGAAAAATATATTTTTTGATTATATTTAATTTTTAGTCGCGGCATATCGGCTCATAGAATGGCTCTGAGTTTTCTGTTAAAAACTAGTTCGAATACGCAAGTCTGTGAATTCGGGATAATGGTAGGCCAAGGATCCCGGCGATTTAGTGGTAAATTTGAGGACTTATACCGCTAAACATGGGGTTTCGATACCCACGATGGTAGACCATTGGGTAACTTTGTGCTTAATAACATG